ACTTCGCCTATTGTGACATCAACTCAAGAAATAACAACTTCGCCTATTGTGACATCAACTCAAGAAATAACAACTTCACCTATTGTGACGGACACAACATCAATTCAACCTCAAGAAACAACAACTTCGCCTACTGTGACAAACGCAACAACAACTTCTATTGGGGCAGAAGGAACGCCTGCTAGTTTTTAATTGATAATACGACCTGAAATACAATGTTACAATTAAAACATTAGCTTCATCAGAATCATCTACTGTTACAATAACAGACAACATTAACATTGGCCTATGTTTCAGTAAGGACTTTGTAGAATACGAGAAATCAAAATTAATGATTAGTTTATATTGGTTTGGTTTGGTTTTATTCACCACTTTTTAGCTCTGGAATTTTTGTTTACTCTATAATAAACCCATAAACATTTGTTTCGAACATTTATTGACCTCTATTACTTTGATATATTTTTATTGTATAGCCAATGTAGAATGCTAGGATCTTGATAATTAGGGCATATAAATACAGTATTAACAATATTCGCGTTAACTTTCTATAGTAGTAAAAGCAAAATAAAGTATTGATTTTTGTGATCTAAACGAAAATCCACGAAATTTTTTGTTACGCAATTAATAAAATTAATCTGATTTATTATTCTCGCTCGGATCTCTGATATGTAAACATGTAGTTAATCGATGAAACAATTATGGGAATGTGCATGCCGCTTGCATCCAAAGAACAACTGTCTAATATTTCTTAACTGCTCTTATTAACTCACCAAGAACGGCAGTTCCGAAATACTTCCCTTAGCGCGTTGTGGGGTTACACGGCCATGCTTATTCTTCAACGCTCTTAAAAGAGATGTGTAAACTGTGCTTACTCTACCGGCATGTCGTGGGGAGTACACGGTCATGCTCTCTATATGACACGTTGTGGAGGGTACACAACCGTGCCTTTCGATTTATCAAACTCCTTGATTTAAACTCAATGCACTAACATACTCTCAAGTGCCCAAATTTGTTTCAATTTCTCTAACACGTTGTGGGGGTACACAGCTGTGCTCTCAAAATCCGAAAAAATTATTTCTGCTCGAAATTGATTAGCCGCAGATGAAGAGTATTGTCATGTGTAGTGTGCTAGCATTAATAGAGATGGGTGGGAGGGAAGTTCAATAAGTCAAAAATCAAACAGCAAAAGAAAATACAAAAAATTACCTATTCAAATATCCATAGCTTTATTTTGATTTCTTACATAATTGCACTAGTCTTTATTCATCAATAAATCATTATTACATCATTTTAACTTTATAACTTACACAAAAAAAATGTAACCAGTCCCGATCCTGGAAATAATAGCCCTACAAAATTGATAATTAGTACATTATATTTTTTTGTATTATTTTTATAAACAACTGTCTCGATCTATTTATATTTTATAAAAACAAAGAACAAAAATATAATAAATCTGCTTTGTGTTTTTAGAAACAAAAATAAGTAATAACTGTGGGAATATTTTTATTATTGTTGGTAGCATAAAGGCAATAAGCGGTGTGGTAGCAAGCAACATATTATTACACCTCAGCAATAAAATATAATATTCATTATCAAAAATAATCTCCACTTTTATTTATATGTTTTTTTATTTTCTATTTATTTACACCGGATCATTAAGTCCGAATTTTTATTTCGTAAAGCTTATATGAATACTGTAATAATTAAAGCATCAAAAATAAACAATTTAGGAAATTTTATTTTAGCAGTACCGATTACTCGATAAATAAATTTTGTTAGATAGTTAAGTATTCTAAAAGCATTATAAATTCTGTATTTTAAATTTTAACCAATGGTCGAACGAGCATAGATAGAATATCAATGTAGTACGGTCATTTTATTTATAGCAGCATCCATTTTTGGAGATATACAATGTCATCATTACTATATAATAGATCGATCGCTTGTTTACATCGTTGAGGCTGTGAATTTTTAAGCGATTGGGGGGGGGGGGCTAAATACTCTATAGCATTGATAATTATAAGGGTGGGTGTCATATATCTATGCTCGTTCGTACATTTTACAATGATCTTCACCAATGTTTGACCATTGGTCAAAATATACTTCACTCGCTCCGATATAGAATATCAATGTAGACTTTAGAGTATATGCTATTACGAAAATTGTGTTTGATTGAGTATAAGTGAAGAAGTCTTATTTTTCTTTAACATTCTTTTAATTCCTCGCTGATAGAATTTTTGATAAACTGTATAGCATGCCCAATTACCTAGTGCTAAGATAGTAGACATTTTGGCACCAGCATCTTGAGCTAAGAAAGTCGAAATTAATCTGACATCTTTAGCTTTGGCTCTAGGATCCGATTGCATTAAAATATGTTTGAGCCATCTTGAGATTGTATCGACTGTAGCTTTTTTGTGGAGTATGGTAGTTGTTAAAAGCAATGATTCACACCGATCCTGATTGTTTCTCCATGATGATGTTCTCTCAATAAGCTTCAAGGTGGCTGATGAAGAACATAAGCCAAGGTCTTCATAATAATTGATGAAAATTTTCTTGGTTCTATATTTATTTCCACCGTGTGAAATGGATATGTTAATCTCCTTGAGGTGATCTATTTCAAAGAAGATTTCAGATTGTTTTTTTTGAAGAGATTATATTCTAATGTAATAGAGATCACTGGGTCTAGGAGCAGTATATAGTGCAACCAAAAATGCTGTCTTACAAGATAAGCCAAAAGAGTTATTTCATTATTGTTGCCTAAACTAGAAATATAATTCATTGAAGGAATAATATCAATTGCACCATAGGGGGGTGGGTTCAGTTTGCAAATAGCTACCATAAATTTTGCAATATCTGGATGTTTACCAATTTGATAACCATTGATCAGAATATAAATTTCATCAATTGCTAATTGATAGGAAGAAATAGTATTGTATACCTTTGTTGTTTAACCATTTTATATAAAATTCAATAATTTTTACTATAGGGCATCAAAGGAGATCCAAATTCTGTATATTATACCAAAATTATTATTTGTTGATTGATGAGCCCACAGTGTTGTTTGAACATTTGTTTATAGTGTTCAGAATTGTTTCAATGACTTTTTTTGGAATATTCTTTGTTTGAAATTTTGTCTAGATACTAGTATAAGGGTTATTCAAACTCTTCTCTACTACTAAGATTTCTAATGCTAAGGTATAATAATTTGATCTAAGTTTCTCTCTTAAACTCTATAAAGCAAACTCACAATTAATTAATAAACATTCATAAAAAAACAACTATCCAAACTGTCTTTTAGTTTCTGTTGTAGAAGCTTTCTTCTTTATTTAGAGATTTGACCTTTTCCTTATATACATGTTAATTTCATAATAAAATTATAATAACTATTCTAATTATTCCAACTATTTCTACTATAATTACTATGTTTACTATTTTAACTATAATTAAGAAAATATATACAATTAAGAAAATACATAAAAAAAAAACTTTAATAAAGATAACTTAGATTTAAAAGATTTATAATCATTTTAATATTAACTCATGTGATAATTCAAATCTCCTCTCATATTAGACAAGCAGTTATTTTCTATTCTAGATTGCAGAAGAAATTCTATAAGTTTATTAGATTCAGATTCATCAGATAATATGTTAAAAAAAGTATCAAAAAGTCAATTAATAGACTCATTAAGAGTAAAAACTAAATTCTGTTTCCAATATATAATTATTAAATATATTGTATCTTAATTTTTAATTACTTTTATTAAAATACAGAATATTCATATTCAAAATTAATTTATCTATGTATATTCTTATAATTAGAGCTCCTAATGATACCAGTTCGATACTTATATTTACTATAAAATTATATAAGTAGGTCACAACTTATATACTAAATTTACTATAGATCATTATTATCAATACTAGTTTGATACCAGTTTGATACTTTTCAGGGTCCTACTTATAATTGATCATGTTTTATTACATCAGTTCCAAGTGTAAATAGATCTTAATATCTTATATAATATTTTAATAATAGGGTATTCCAATTGTTAGCAAAGTAATTTATTATAAATAGATTCCATTTTAAAGTTAGATAAATAAAAATCTATGGATTTAATTGTAAATTTTGTTCAATTTTGTATTTGGATATTTGATCTACCTAAATATTGTATTTTCCTGAAGTATATTAATCAATTATCTTAATTTCTCAAGTTAAATAAATATTTAAAACTGCTTTTACTAAATTGTTTAATTTCTAAAATATGATTTCATCTTAGTAATTTAAATATACTACTGTTGCTATATTGTTCAATTTTATTATAACTGTTTAACTGCAAATTTCTTTGAATGCTAATAGAGTATAATAACCTGCTTTTAGTTTTAAAAAATTAATGTGTAAATTTTTTTGCTTATTAATTTATTGCTCTTATATTATTATTTGATTAATTATAACTTTCTAATTCACTAAAAAGGTATTTATAAAAATTGTATCATCAGTAATATTGAAATTATATATAAACAATTTTATGTATTTAAATTAATTATCCATTACTCTAATTGTTATTCCTTAAATAGTGAGATATTTTTTTATAATGTTTAAATTTTTTAATTAAAAAGTTTTTTTTTTTATTTATTTTTTAAATAATCAACATATTTTTCTAAAAATTTATACAATATTAGTTTTAATTATATATTATCTACTGATAGTATTTATTTTTTGTTTATTTAATAAAAATTTAAAGTTTAATTATAAGCAAAATCTTTAATTTAAAAAAAAAAATTAACAAAAGTTGATATTGGACCAACTTAAAAATTTTTAAATTAAAGTTTATATATTTCATAATCAGTTTTGTAAAATTATTTGTAAGAATTACTTTAATTATTATCATTTTAATAATTTAATTATAGAAATTTTAACTTGTATTAAAAATAAAATACTTTTTTTTACTTTAAACATATATTAAATTTTATATAATTTTTTTATTAAAATTTTAAACACAAAGTTTAAAATTATCAATTTTGAAAATTTTCAATAAAATTTTAATTTTTTATTAATAAAGTTAATAAAAAAAATTCCAAACTACATTTTTTATAATATAAGTAAGTCATAAAAATTAATACTTAAGATTTTATCAAAATTTTTTAAAAACTTAATAAAATTTAAAATATTGTTACATTTGGTTTTTACT